ATCAGAGTTTAGCTCACTTCTGTCCCTAAGTCAAAAGTGATTGTTCCTAAGCTTTTGCCTCTAGTATCAGGCTGTTCATAGACTGGCACTGTCTTGGTCTGGGCACTGATCACCAGCAAAAAAAACAGCAGCCCACTCTTTGTCAGCACGACTGACTAACCCCAGTAAATATGTGTACATAGGACATTTTTCAATGATCAAGATCACAAGAAAATATAGCAGAGATTAAGAAGAGTACATATGACCTTCATTTGCCTGCTTATTTACATACAGATCTTTTGACCAATTTCTAGAAACATGGATTTTAAAGCATAACACAAATCATATAGCCCTAATGTAGCTCATAGTAAACTTTTCAAAAACATTAATTTTAACCTAAACACATTACTTGGCTCCTAAATTGAGAAACAAACAACAAAAAAACCTAAAGCAGATTTGAAAATAGTAGTAAACACTAAGAACAAGCAATTTAAATACAGGGGAAAAATTAAACATAAAAATAAAAGAAACATTTAGGTACAAATTTATCAAAATATGTACAAGATCAGTATCATGGAAACCCACAACACATTATGGACAGAATGATGACAGGATGTACATACAATGGACTCCTTGTGCACAGTGGGTTAAGCATTGTGCTGCTAATCAAACTTACCAGCTACTCTGCGGGCGACAGATGAGGCAGTGGGTTTTCATAAATTATAGCATCAATTACCCAGGAGTTCTACTCTGCTCTACAGGGTTGCTATGAGTTAGTCTATTTGATGTGAGTGGGCTTTATCATCCATGCAATGACTAATAACCCCATTAAGCTTATCAATAGCTGTCTGGAGAATGCGGATTAAAACAATAATGTGGCATATACCCACTAGAATGGCTAACAAAAACACAGCATATAAAGTAATGGTGAGAAGGTGCAGAAATGTCTTAATTTGCTGGTGGGAATATCAAACAGTACAACCACTTTGGAAATCAGTCTATACATTTCTTATCAAATTAGACATACCTAATGGCCCAGTTACTCAGTTTAAGTGTTCACCCGGGAAATACTAAAACAAAGCAAAACCCCAGTGCATGCAGATTTATACAAGGTTTACAGCAGCTTTGATCAAAATAGCCAAATGCTGGAAATACAAGAAAATACTGCCCAGTAGTAAATAGGAATGTAGAAAAAAGTCAGACCTAAAAGCGTAATTCTACTTGTACGAAATTCTAGAAGAAAAAGTAATTTAAGGTTGAAAAACACCAGGGCAGTGAATATGTGGGGTAAGTGGCGAGAAAGGCCTGACCGGGAAAGGCCATTAGGGGGCTTTTTCTAACTTGGCTGAAGTGGAAGATATACAAGGAGAGACATTTGTCAAAAGTCATTACACTGCATAAGTAGCCTACAACAGGCACATTTTAAAAATTATTAAATAGTTTTGTTGGGGGCTCTTACATCTCTTATCACAATCCATTGTGTCAAGCACATCTGTACATATGTTGCCATAATCATTTTCAAAGCATTTTCCTTTTACTTGAGCCCTTGATATCAGCTCATTTTTCTCTCTCCCTCCCCTCCCCATCCTCCCTCATGAACCCTTGATAAGTTATAGATTATTATTTTCATATCTTACATTGTCCTCTATCGCCCTTTACCTACTTTTCTGTTGTTCAGCCCCCAGGGAGGGGGTTATATACTGATCCTTGTGATCAATTCCTCCTGTCTCCCCCCACCTTCCCCTTATCCTCTTGGATCTCTATTCTCATTGTTGGCCCTGAGGGGTTGGTTTATCTATCCTGGATTCCGTGCTGCTGCTCTTGTCTGCAGCAGTGTGCGTGTTCTGGTCTAGTCGGATTAGTAAGGTAGACTTGAGGTCGTGATAGTGGGGGGAAGGAAGCATAAAGTACTAGAGGAAAGTTGTGTGTTTCATCAGTGCTATACTGCATCCTGACGGGCTCGTCTCTTCCTTGTGACACTTCTGTGAGGGGATGTCCAACTGTCTACAGATGGGCTTTGGGTCTCCACTCCTCATCCTCCCACCATTCACACTGGGTATGATTTTGGGTCTTAGATGCCTGATACCTGATCCCATTGACACCTCATGATCACACAGGCTAGTGTGCTTCCTCCATGTGGGCTCTACAACAGATACAATTAATGCATGCAAACTGTATCCCGATATATGAGTAGAAGTAAACTTGATGACAGTGGGGTTTTGTTTGGGGTGGTAGCGGATGTAAAAATTGGGAAAACACATGGACAAAAACATATTGCCAAGTATACAATGCTAATTAAATCCTACCATTTCAATATTGTCCTTCAGGTCAGTCTTTAATTGTTCGTTTTCTGCTGTAATGTTCTCTAACATTTGTTGGAGTTCATTTTTCTCCTGTATTAGAGAAAATATCTTCTCCTCTTGTTCAATCAGCTTATTATCTCCAATATCTGCAATCAATATCTGGGATTTGTCTATTTTAATCATCTATAATGGAAATATATTAAAGAATTGAAATTAATAATTTTAATAATAAATACAAATACCCATAATTATATTGCTTGTTATGTACTATTCACATATATTTAATGTTTTACCTCTTACATAGAGGTAAATATACAAGAATCAGGACCTTATGTGGTAGTTCCTGCTGGTATTATCATTTGATAGATGAGCAAACAGCCCCAGCGGGTTAAGTCCCCTTTTCACAGTAACAGAAAGAAGTACAGCCAGATTTTGAACCCCAAACTGTCTCCACTGTTGGTGCTTAGTGCTTCTTCACCAGTAAGAGCCCTTGGAGAGCTATGATAATTAACGCTTGTCTTAATGTACGAGTAGGCTAACTTGACTGTATGCTCACTTATTACAATCCAAATACATAATAAATAAAAATGGACTTAACTTCCCTTTCTATGAACGTCTATAAATATTCTCTAGCCTTCATGTTAATAGTACTTTGCTTCTTATTATTAGAATGGAGGCAACAACCTTGACCTCTCCTACTTGAGCTCTGTCCTTGGAAAACTGGCAATGAGTGCCCAGGTCCCAGCGAATCTCTATTTTCAGAGGTATGCACAATCATAAGAGGCTGGAAGTTTTTATTTATGCAGAAGGTAGGATAATTTTGGAAAAGCCTCTCATATAACAGCATAATTAATCTTTTAAGAAATATTCATTTTTCATACACTGAGGAAAAGCATATTAAAACAGATTCATTTATCCATAAATATCTTACCCAGAAGTAACCTAATATAAGAACTTAGTGGTAAAGAGAGACAAAGTTAATACTTTGTACTGACAGTACAAAGTTAATACTATAAGGTGTCACTCTAAACCTTACATGAGCCCAATGAACACATTCAGCTTCACACCGGTCACGCATAGGAGAGGGCTTTGCTAGAAAAAGGGGAAGATTGGTTTGTGTCCATCTGGTCACTCTAGGGGAGACAGACTTGCCATCTGTTTGCAGCCGAGAAAGCCCTATGAGGCAGTTCTACTTTGTCACATGGTCACTCTGAGCTAGCATCAACGACACACAGCAGGAAGGGTTACATTAGAAACTACTCTGGAAAATAGGGGCAAAGCCATCTGATGTCAGCAACATCACCAAACACTTTTAAAATTTCAGAGTTTTCATTAAAAAATGCAAAATTCAACATCAATACAATTAATTTAAATGATTTTACAGCTAGTTTCCCAGCTATTATGTGATTTTAAAATAAAAATTCTTAGTAGCTACCAATTCCCTAGACTGGCGATGAATACAGTGAACAAACCCTCCTCGGGCATGCATGAGTGTTGAACAGTGGTGAGCGAGCACAGTGCTAATTATGAGTCTGAGAAATTCAGGTGGAAAACACAGCGTCTCGGGACTAGTCTTTCAAATACTACACTTCAGACAAGGCAGACTGAGCTAAGGTCCTCTGCTGACACTGAAGGTCCACTTCAAATCTGAACTAAGAGGAGGAAGTATTCAGCTACCTTGGTTATGAATGATGAGTGAAAATGAATTTATCTAATTGTACAAGGAAAAATGTGCTCTTCATATGAGAATAAGTTTGCAAATAAAAAGTTAAACATTTTAGTGGTATGTGTTTCAAAGGTATTTTAGAAATGAAAGGTATAATACATGAATTCTTTGTAAAAATGGCATAGAATTCTTCCCTCACTTAAAAAAAAAATCATCACCGTCACCCTAGTTTTTCTGTACACAATAAATAACCAGGTAAAACAACTATTCACATAAGGTCTCATAAAGAAATTAACTATATTACCTAGATTCTGCTATGCAAGTATTATCTAATTACCTACTAGTAAAATGCTGTCTAAAAATAGACATATGTTAAACACATTGATTTTACAATGAACACTAAATAATTATACTATATGAAAATCATACACAAAACAAATATATTAGCCACAATTAATAATACTCAGTCTTTCTTACTGTCTTAAAATTTAGTGTGGCTTTTAAAGATATGTAGCCTCAGAAAATATTAGCTCTTCAAAGTTTAAACTAATATTCTTTCATTTTTCTTTTTAAAATTGATTATAAACTGTCATATTTCAAAGATATCAAATCAGTTCTAGTTATTAAGACTGACTATTTAAAGACTGACATAATCATTATATATGTACAAGTGTTTGGGGTTAAAGAAAAAGAATGCTTATATGAAAACTAAAGAAAACTCCAAAAAAGAGACATCTTTTACCTCTTCTGGAATTTCATTCATAGTTTCTCCTCGGTTTTCCTCGATATACAAATTCTTAGATGTTCCTTCAGAAACTTTCATTTTTAGGGTGTTAATTGTGTCTTGGTATTGTTTCAAAGATTCAAGAGCGTTTCGTAACTGTTCTTGAGTATCGATGTTCTTTGACAAAGAAATATTTTTAAAAAATTATCAGAATGTAGGAAAAGAAAAATAATTTTATAGCTAATACTTGGGCATCGATAATGATAGCTCATTTAATTTTTAAGACAGTCTCCAAATTTTCAAAGTTTAGTCAACCCAAATTGTCGTACCATGTTTACTGTGTCCTGAATATCACTTTTCAGTTGGTCTCTCTCAATTTGTAGGCTCCCATGGAGTTGTTTTAACTCATCTTTTTCTTGGGTTAATATTCTTACTTCTTCTACGGTTTGTTGAAGTTTCTCAGCAAGCAATGCTTTCTCTTTTTCTATAGTTTGCAGCCTAGAATCTCTATTTTCTAGTTTTTCCTTCAGCTCTTCCATTTCATTTAAAGTTTCTTGACTCTCATTTGTTTTCTGCTGAAGTTCTTGGGCTTTGGGAGAAAGCTATAAAACAGGAAGAAAAAGAAAAGTAATATAACAGAAGCAGAGCATGCTATGGTTAAACTCCAGAAATTAAAGATCATTTCCTTAAAAAGTATTTTGTGCCAATCTTTAGTCTTCACACTGTCTAGACTTACCCCGAGTTTTGCAGTTTCATTAGACAGAGTTTCTAACTTCTGATTCATTCTCTCATTCTCCTCAAGGGCCACTTTGTACCTTTCCTCAATGTCCTTATGACTGGCTTTTAGAACTTGAACTTCTTGGTCCATGCTTTTGTAATTCAGCCGGGCAGTAGCTAGGTCATCCTTGGTGTTCTCAATTTCTCCAAGTAAACCTTGAATTCTATTCTCTTTATTGGCCACTTCAGAAAAGAGTTTGTCTTTTTCTGCTGTTATTAGATTGAGCTCTTCAGATTTGTCATGTATCTGTGGGGAAAAATGGGTTAGGGATAGTCACAGTTTTTGATTCAAGGAAGCACAGTAGGGGAAAATGCTGATCTGTAAAAAAATAAAGACATTTATATTAGGCAAGGATGGTCATCTTTGTATTTTCACCTTTCCATATTCGGTACTGGAGGCCTGTTGGCATAGTGGTTATGAGTGGGGCTGCTAATCAGAAAGTCAGCGGCGATCTGCTTTCTACTCCTGTAAACAGCTTGAATCTCAGAAAAGCCAGAGGGGCATTCTCCCGTCTCACAGGGCTGCTATGCACTGGAATTGACTCAATGGCAACGAAGATATTTCTTATATTGTCCGGCTTTTTACCTTAAAAATTCTGTTTTCTAAACTCTTTGGGATCTAATAAGAATCAAATGAAGGACTCTCAGTGGAAACACTTTATTAGGATGTTCTGTTATGTGTTTATCTACCACTCTAGTTTCGAACTTCATGGTATGGCAAGCATTTTTGTCTTTTTCTCACAACACGACACATTAAGGAATTTTTGTTTTTTCCCTTTACAAGGTTTGAAGACACCTCAGATTGCAAAAAAATGCAACCCACAAATATGTCAAAGAAATAATATTCAAATAGTTAAATGAAGACTTTAATACATATTCTCTTATAAAGAGTTTTATCATTGAGACGGATGAGGGCAAAAGGTGGTAGGATGAAAGAGAAGGGTGATAAAGAGGAGACAAAGGAAAGAAAGGGTAAGATATGACAAACTAATAACTTACAAACTATCAAGGGTTCATGAGGGAGGGGGGAATGGAGAGGGAGGGGGGAAATGAGGAGCTGATGCCAAGGGCTTACGTGGAGAGCAAATGTTTTGAGAATGATGAGGGCAACGAATGTATTAATGTGCTTTACACAATTGATGTATGTATGGATTGTGACAAGAGCTGTATGAGCCCCCATTAAAATGATTATAATAAGAAAAAAGGAAAGAAAGGTAATAGAGCAGAGTTTCTATAACATGGACTTAGGAGGCAGATCTGCTTTCAAACCTTTGCTCAGATGCTTATTAGTTTTATACTATTTGCTGGAGCTAACAAACAGCACTACTCTAACGAGCTGATAAAACCCAAACCAAACTCACAGTCATCGAGTCAATGCCAGGTCATGGTTCACAGAACTTTTACTGGCCTGCATGATTTACATCAGCCTCTCAAACGTTATCAATGTCACCTCCTTTACCTTATTCCTCTCATATCAACATATGGGAGGGCGGAGGAGTACTGAATCAATAACAACAAGAAAAAGCAAAACAAGATAAATAATAATAATAAATAAATAATAAATAATAACTAACAAATCGAGCTCTGTATAAATGCAACATTTGAAGAACATATAAATGATTACTATATGGATTATATTGCCAAGAATAATGATAAGCATACTTTGAAAGTATTTACTATCTTATCCAGCAGCAAATTATTGCTAACATCATAAGACTCAACTTTTTGCAGTATTTCTTGCCTGTTTTAAGATGAACCATGTTAAAAATTATTTATGGTACTACCGTAAGGTCTTTATTTTAGAAGGGTTAATTGCTTAAACATGTATTTACCTCTTTCCTCAGCATTTCTACTTCAGGGGACAAAGATTTCAATTCAGAGAGAAAATCCACTTCTTTACACAAAGCCGCATTTTCCTCATTTTTTCTGTTCAGCTCTTTTTGAAGATCATTGGTCCTTCTTTCCAATTCTAAGCTGCAGAGCATGTCTGGAAAAGTTTTTTTAAATTATAGTAAACAGCTTATTATAATAGGGATAATCTACATTAAACACAAAGTTAGATTTCAATTCAATTGCAACTGATTTTTTTTTTAAGAGCCAATGTTGGCAAATGGTAATATTTTCTACATCAGATCTACTTCATTTGAAAAGTAACTCTTGAAGCTTATGTAGACTTTAAAAAATACCGATACCAAAAGATACAGCTATTACAAAAATCAGATCATAAAAAAGATTTTTGGCTATTGAAATATAATTGTCAAATACTTCAGGTGCATTTCTAGAGCAAGTCAGATTTGCAAAGAGATAAATCGGAAATTGTAAAATACCTTTTGGAACTTTGCCATCTACAAGAGAGGTTAGTTTTGCTATTTCATTAAAAGCAAATTGCAATTCTTTCTCTAGATCGACTTGCATTTTCTTTTTTGTTTCCAATTGGCGTTGAGATACCTTAATATCATTTTCCATTTGTTTGTATGCATCTTCAAGGTCTTTCTGATAAAAGAAACATCACATATTCACAAAAAAGACTCATCATTATAACTGATTTACTATGAATATTGTAAGTTGTTCACCATTTTCTCCTTCAGTTCTAGATTTTCACTTCTAAGAAAGGCTGATTGTCTCTTGGCATCAAGGGTTACAGTTTCAGCATCAAACAGAGTCTGTTTCATTTGTTTAAGATCTTCAGTATTTTCCTAAAGAAATAAGGATTATGCATAACCAAAGAGATACAATGAAATCTTACTTTCTTAAAAGTTAGAAAATACTTTAGAGGACATTTCTAAAAAAATCAAAAAAGGGTAAAATTACCTTAATTATACTTATTTTTAGAATGAAAACAAATGAAACAAAATTACTTCTCATAGATTAAAAAAAATTCTGACCATAACTCCCAAATTATGAATGCATGGAAGTGCCAGAATTTCTGGAATTAGTTACTTTTAAGAAAAGGTTAACACACTTGTTCAACTAGGCTGCCTAAGTTTCCTATGTGTTTTTATTTCCAGCTTTTCTCTTTAACACAAGAGGTAAATAATTTCAATATCTTATACTATAATTTTCATATATGAATATAAGTTTTCATATTCTATTTACTAATGCTGAAAGTATTAAAGATTACTAGTGGTGCAATGGGAGAAAGATGGGCTTTCTACTTCCATAAGGAGTTATAGTCTCAGACACACACAGCTACAGTGCCACCTGGTCCTACAGGGTTGCTAAGCGGCAGCACGGACACGATATGAGTTGAGTCTGGTTCTGGTTTTGGGAATGCTGCAATGGTTAAGTGTTCCACTAAGCGTCAAAGGCTGGTGGTTTGAACCCACTTAGCCTCTCCTTGGGAGCAAGACATGGCAGTCTCCTGCTGTGAGATCATAGCACAGAAAACCCTATCAGACAGCTGTACTCGTCATATGGGCTTGCTATGAACCAAAGTAGACTTGATGGCACACAGCAACATTAAAGCTATTACACCAGAAGTTGGAAATAAAAAGGAAAATTGTCAGAAGTAGAGAAAACGTAAATAGGTAACTCACAGAAGAGAAACTATGAGGGGGTTTCAAAACGTTCATGGAAAAATTCATTTTAATTTCTTTTACCACAAATTTCCCAAAGGCTTTTCATATTTTCCCTCTTCGGAGTTGTTATTTATTTCTTTATACATTTGTGGGAAACTGGAATTAAAAGATAAGGGAATTTTTCCACGAACCCTTTGAAGCCCCCTCATGCAGACAGCACAATACGGGGGAAACACAAACAAACACACCCACAACCTCAGTTTTAGGAGAGAAGTGGCATATTGGGACTCCCACTACTCATGGCCGTCAAGCAGATTCCGATTCACAGCCACTCTAGAAGACAAGGCAGAACTGTCCCTGGGGGTTTCCAAGCTGTATGTAACTGCCCACGCGGCTAGAAAATCTTGTCTTTCTCCCATTACGACTCTAGGTACATGAATCCAAACATATGCCCTTAAAAAAGAATTATGTATGTATGTATGTATGTATGTATGTATGTATCTATCTATCTAGCGTATGCTTGTGTGTGTGAATGATAATCATGAGTTAAAGGAATAAGGGAGAAGAAACAATTTTTAAAAAGTGAGTAATACTGCCTATCATCCGGTCAGCATCTCTGCAGGCATGCAAGAAAGTTTTGTTTTCTTTCTTCCCTGATTGTTAGGATAGTGGGATGTACAACAGTAGGATTCATTTGTAAGAGACTCCTTTGTCATAAATAGAAGGTAATAATTTTATACTCAAGTGGAAACAAAACTCAGATGAAAATGAAAGAATGGTAACAAACATATTTGAAATATTAAATATTTAGAAACTGTCACATTTTCTTTTTATTATTTATTAAGAACTTTTATGGGGGCTCTTACAGCTCTTATCACAATCTACACATTCATCCACTGTGTCAAGCACATTTGTACATATGTTGCCATCATCATTTTCAAAGCATTTTCTTTCTACTTGATTCCTTGATTATCAGCTCCTCATTTTCCCCCTCCCTCCCTCCCTCGTGAACCCTTGATAAATTATAATTATAATTTTTATATCTTACATCATCCTGTCTCCCTTCACTCACTTTTCTGTTGTTTGTCCCCCAAACGATCACTTTTTCAATGGAGTAAACTTATAATCAAACAGATACTTCCTTAGATTTAATGCAAATTAATGTTATTCAAATCATAATGAGAATGCATTTTAATCTTTGTAATACTGAAAAAAGATTTGAAAAGATAAAAATTATTTGCATAATTGATTTTTAATATAACTCGGTCCCTAACTTCACTATATGCACTCAGAGAACAATAACCCGAGCTCGATGAATGTTGCCTCATCTATTAAATGGCAATGATCCGAAGAGGCCCTTTCTTAGAGGGCTGTTGACAGATTTGAGTAAAGTGCTTTTCTTAAAGTGGCCTGAAACACAGTAGGCCCAGAATCAGCATTTGGTATCATGATATGGCATGCTGTAACAATGAGATGTAGTCAATTCAAATGACCCTGGTAACGTAATTCCTTATGTGATGTTATGATCCTTGACTTTATGCCTGTGGCTGTGGTCCTACTTTAGAGGGTGTTCTGTTATAGGATCAGGGCCCTAGTTGTGTAGTAGTTGGGCTACGAACCACTAAGTCCCAAATATGCCACACCAGCAGGGAAAGATGAGACTATTTCTGCAAAGAGCTATAGCTTTCAGAAACCTACAGATGTAGTTCCACCCTGACCTATAGGGTCTCTGACACTCGGTGGCAGAGAGTGTCTGTCTTTGTTACAGGATTAAGGTGGGCCAAGTTCTGACTTCAGTGGAAGAGTGTGAACAAGCCCTACCCTTTGTTTCCCTAGGGGGCATCTATTAAACTACATTACTACAGATTGTGCCTTAAGACACCATCCTTCCTTTCCTTGAGGGTATGGTGGGGATAACAACAAAAATCACAACTCCATCAAAGCCATTCCTTGGTGTATAAAAGTCACTTGGGACACAGAGAGACATACCAAGACCTGGGTGTACTGGAAAAGCACACCCAAGATCTCTGTCGGCAGTGGTAGAGGAAGGCAAGACCAGAAACGGTGGCATCGACACTCAGAAGAACACAGCAAAGACTATGTATGGGGTACCTTCTCCTCATCTGCTGGGAGACTATGGGACTGTGACACAGAGCAACAGGTGTGCTGGCTGCTTGGCCCATGTAAGGCAGAGAAGCCACGGCACCCTGTGGCTGAGAGGCTGCTCAAAGAGAGACTTGGCTGTTGGCAGTGGAGAGGGGTGGCTATGGACCACTGACTGCATCCTCACCTTCCTGAATAAACCCTCTTAATTGTTGGCATCGACTATGTGGTCACTGCAACGGGCCAGCACACCCAGCCCAGATGTAGAGTGTGTGGGAGGAGCAGTCGGTGTAGCTGTGACTAGGTGAGGAAAGATGGACCCTGGAGGCAGGTCTGAGTCCTGCCTCGTGGCGTGGTTAGAAGGAACTCAGAGGTCAGAAGGTCCACCCATATGCTTTCGACTGCAAACAAAATAAAGCTGATTTTTACCGCCGAGCACGACAAGTCCATTGTTAGGCTTTGTGACTTCTGTGAGTCTATATATTTCTGTAGCTTCTGAATCTGGTCTTCTTTTTCTCTAAGCAGCTCCACTTTTGAACTTAGCTCATGCTAAAAGATTCAAAGGAGAGAAACATAATTTAGGTTGCTAATTTGAATTCTAAAGGCATAAAAAGGAGCTTATATTTAATTGTTTAAATGGCTAGATAGTAAGATATATATAGTTATTAATATTTCAAAAACAATTTTCTAAGGTTACGTTCCATTACATATGATGAATGTTACTGTTTAGCTCTAGAGTTACTTATTGATAGAGACACCAATAATAAATGCTCACCTCAAGATCTTGATTATATACTTCTGAATGCTTAACTAAATTCTTTAAGTTGGAAATTTCATGAATTAGTTGCATCTGTAAGAGCATGTGAATAGGCAACAGAGCAAACCAATAGTTAATAAAGCAAAACAAAAAAAATTTGCAATCATTCACTGCCTCAGTCACCCAACACAGTTAGAAGGGGCTGAGAGATCAATTGTTCTAGTTATCACCAAAAGAGCACCTTACTATATGTATTAAAATACAAAGCAAAAAAGAAAAAATGCAAACAATGATTAAATCTCACCATAACCCAAATAAAGTATGCCACCTGTTAATAAAGTTGCGATAATAGCAATAGCAAAATTAGTTTAAACTAATGTAAGGAGATACTAAAAGGGCTATACAAATTTTAAAGATGTTTTAATGCAATTGCTCTGGTTAAGTGTATTGATTTATTCATCCTGTAACTATTTTCTTTTTCACCTCATCAATCACCCACCTGGCTCTACCCTGATGTTTCAGGGAGTTGGATTTGGAATTTAGGTCACACACAGAGGGCAGCTCAGGCTATGGCAAATGCACCACTCGGAGTCAGGATTGACAAGGGCAGTGAGCCAGAAGGGGTAATCTTGACAGATTTTCTTGAAAGACAAGAACTACCACAGAGCCTACTTCAGTGTGAAGAACATGAAAAGGTGCATCGGTGAGAAAAAGGGGAGGGATTTTTCTCACTGTGACAATGCATCTGCTCCCTCTTCGAGAACAGCAAGGGCGGTCCTACAAGAACTCTGCGGGACAATCGTACCCACTCTACAGCCTGACTTTGCCCATTCAGATTTCTTTTCGTTTCCCACACTCAGAGACCATTTGAAGGAATATAGTGGAGTTCCTTGAGGAATGGCAAAACTGCCATTTTGATGTGGGATTAATAAAAGAGGGCAGAATTTTTCCAGTTAGTTAGATGGGAACACCACCTCCAGAAGAATATAAACACAGATGGAGGCTGTTTTGAGAAACAGTAGCTTCACATTTTGTTATTTCGCTTAATAAGGGTTCTATGATGATCTTATAGTAACACCAAATGGCCCCTGTCAAACTGTCTTCAAACAGAAAACCTGCTGTGATATTCAAATAATATATTCCATGGTATTTTGCAATCTTTCTGCCTGCAGATTCAAACCAGTAAACTTAATTTTTATAGTTAAATGAATATATTAATGATATAAAGAAAAATAATGCAGAATCATTGCTTAGTTTTATTGACTGTAAGTCCTCTGTTCTTTTCATGGTATTTTGCTAATATGCATATTTTAAAGCAAGTGAAATGAGACCCTATAAAGAACTTATTGATCTCTGGATGCAATGCCTATGAAATAAATGCAGGAGTAACTTTAATCGATCGGCAGAATGGAAATAACAGCCCTAGCACAGGGTCCTTTCCTCCTTTTAAAAGGCCAGGGTGACGGTGAGACACTAGACAATGATACTGAGAAAAGGAACCGTGTTCCACTGGGTTATCCATACAGAAATCTGCAAAGTTGCCGCTAGTTAAGCTAACTGATTATACCAAAACACTGGCTCTCATTTGAGGATGAGGTAGGGCATCTCATAGATCACTTCACAGGTCTCTTAAAGCGATATATTAGAGAAGTAAATCTTTTTTAAGAAAAATCATTTTATTGCGGGCTTTTACAGATATTACAATAATCCAAAATCAATTAAATCAAGCAAACTTGTTTATATATTACCACCATTAAAATATCATCTTTCTACTTGAGTGCTTATTATCAGCTCCTCTTTAGAAAAGTTCTGCAATAAAAATTCTGAAAAATCAGCTTCTTCATATATTCTAATAATGTCTTATTTATGACTACACTGCCGAAAAAAACCAATTAATGTGTAGCATCCATAAATAAAATATTCAGCTGATTTTAAAATTCATATTGGTTTTATTAGAAAATGACTATGCTCTAGGCAGCATTTCTGGTATGCTCAATTAAATATTGATAATATATAAATAATAAGGAAACCATTTCCTGAACACAAATTCATTTAATAGGCAGATTCACTAAGCTTTTCAAAGATGCTTTGGTTTCTTCTCCTTTAGCATAACACGTGAAACAAATATGATAAAACTATTTTTAAATTAATTTAATACTTAATATCATCTCTATATTTTATACATATGAAAAACGGTTACCACAATCTTGAGGATGATTGTGGTACTGATAATGTACAAATGATTTTCTTCTCCAAGTGCAGTTTTAGTTTAGCTTCACATTTCCCTCTTACCTCTTGGTCTTTTTTAGTTTTCTTTTCGAGAGCTTCAAATTCATCCAAATCATTCTTCTCTTTTAATCTCAATTCCATTTCTTCATTTTCTCTTCTTAGTTGTTCATAGTCTAATGTCAGACTCTCATAGTTAGCCTGAAGTAAGCTCAACTCACTTTCTAAGGTTTCCTATTATAAACAAAACCCGATTTTCAAATCAGAAGGAATTCAAGTAATATATTCTTTATTCCAATAACCCTAAACTGGGATTAATCATATAAGTGATTTAATGTTGAATCATTTGGTGGTTTAGGCCATTCTCTTCTATGATAACTTTCTAATCTATTTTAATAAAAAAGTAAATGAAGGGCTGACATTTTGGTAATGAGCAAGCTTAGAATAAAAAATCATGTAAACAAATGCTTTGCCTGGGAAAGTTCAATTGGACAGACAGCCTAATATTATATCCCCATTGAGTAGCAATCCTTAAGGTCCCACCTGCAGGTTAGGGGATTCTGTAAAAAAAAGCCAATAATTTAATTCCACACCAGTCCACCTTATTTTATTCCTCAGATGCTTCTGAATTAAGGAAAGGGAATAAGAGTTCCTTACTGATCTCTAAAACTGAAAATAGCTATTATGTTTTACCACATTCAAAGAGGGTCTGCTTTTAGTTTCCGTAATATGAGAAAGAGGTAAACCATGGTTAAAACAAGACTGCAAACACTAACACTAGGGATTTAAAACACAAATACTGTACAGAGCATGCCTTAATAGGCATCTAGAATTTGTCTTAGGGACATAAAAGCTATTAGTCTATAATACTTTATCAAGAATTTCAGGAAGAATAACCAAATTGTACTATGTTTTTCTAAAATTACAATGAAATGTTAATACATGAATTATAAATCTGAACATATTAAAGTAGTCTTTCTCAAAGTAGTTTTTATGTCCTAACAGTTTGGATAAGACCACATATATTTTGCCTTTCTTTCCAGTGTTATTTCTCCCTAACGTATCATTCTTCCACTGGATGATCAGGAATTTTGACGTTTTCAAGTCAGCCTTTTCACGCTTCTGGGATTGCCCCAGTGAAAACATATTTTAAGGACATCCCAGAACAGAGTCCTAATAGCTGCTGGGAGGGGCGATGAGCACAGCTTTACCTCCTGACTTCTGCTGGCTCTACGAAACCTTCGTCTCGCTCTGGGTGCCTCACTGATCAACATCTACGTGCGTACAGGTTAGAGAAGCTTTAACTACAGCCAGGATGGCTTCTGAAACAACGGTGAACTCTTACAACAGATGAATCTGGAACAGTGAAAGGATAAAGCTCTATATTAAACCAGATTTAACTTACCGGACTTAGAAGCTTTGTTGCTGGATTCCACTCTATTTCAGTTACTGTATCAAGGGTGTTACTGAAAACATCAGCCTCTGAACAGAAAGCTATAATTAGAAGAAAGAGACATGTAACTACAAAAACACAATCCTAATAGTTTTCTAAAGTCAAATTGCTAAACAATTTCTGGTCAGAGGAAAGAAGAAGTTCAAATTAGCTTATATGCGCTCAGAATATGAAGGTCAAAATTAATAATAGACATAATCATTATATTATAGTGTGAATAATTACTATCACTGGTTGAAATGAGTGATAAATATAGGATCCTTAATACAGCCTAGGTTAAAGGACAAAAAAAATTTAGCATTTACTTACCTGATCACTATAATAAATTCTAAGATGTCCCTAGATGATAGATTAGAATATTACAGGACAAAATTTTGAAAAAGATTCCTGTGTAAATGCCACCACTTCAGAATAGCAAAGTTTAAGGTGGATGCTCTTTGGATTCTACTTTAATTGGATAATGGTTAAAACAACAAAAAGCTTTATTATGTTCCAACTACAACATGTCCTGAAGAGATTCAGAAATAATAGGGACCTTTCTGAGTGTTTACTTTAAAAATGATTTATTTTAACCATTAACTCCATTGTAATCATATCTAAACCATCACGAATTGAGTTATAAATAGTCTTTATAGGGATGCTTTATAGTTCCCAGCAGCTCCACTTGAAAACACACTCACATTCATCAATTTCTCCTAGTAAAGTCACCGCAGCTTTGTTTGTTTTCGTCGTTACATTCGTCCTATTAAATTCATTCACATAGTTTGAGTCCTTCATTTTGTTGATTTTGCCAAGGCACCACGTAACTCTTCGCTTTTTTTTAGCCTACAAAAGAAATTAAAAAGGATCTCATAATTTGTTTTGGGTCTTAAGATGCCTGGTACCTGATCCCATCGACACCTCATGATCACACAGGCTGGTGTGCTTCCTCCATGTGGGCTTTGTTGCTTCTCAGCTAGATGGCCGCTTGTTTATCTTCAAGCCTATAAGACCCCAGATGCTATATCTTTCGATAGCTGGGTACCATCAGGTTTCTTCACCACATTTGCTTATGCACCCATTTGTCTTCAGAGATCGTGTTGGGAAGGTGAGCATCACAGAATGCCAGCTTGTTAGAACAAAGTGTTCTTGAGTTGAGGGAGTACTTGACTTGAGTTATGGCCCAATGACCATCTGCACAAGGTAAACGGGGGCCGGGGGTAGGGGGCATGGAGTGGAGACCTAATGTCCATCTGTAGACAATTGGACATCCCCCTATGAAGGGGTCATGGGGAAGAAATGAGTCAGCCAGGGTGTAGTATATCACTGATGAAACACACAACTTTCCTCTAGTTCTTTGGTGCTTCCTTCCCCCACTATCATGACCCCAATTCTACCTTACAAATTGGATTAGGCCAGAACATGCACACTGCTACAGATAAGAGCCCACAACACAGAGAATCCAGGATAAAACCCCCCAGGACCAATAATGTGAGTAGAGATACCAGGAGGATTAGGGGAGGGTGGTGGGTAGTAAGGGGGAATCGATCACAAGGATCAACCTATAACCCTCCTCTCAAGGGGACAAACAATAGAACAGTGGGTAAGGGGTGACGGAGGATGAGGTAAGATATGAAAATAATAATCTATAACTTATCAAGGGTTTATGAGGGAGGGTGTGGGAAGAAATGGGGAGCTGATATCAGAGGCTCAAGTGGGAAGAGAATGCTTTGAAAATGATGATGGCAACATATGTGCAAATGTACTTGACACACTGGATGAATATATGGATTGGGATAAGAGATGTCAGAGCCCCCAACAAAAGTATTTAATAATAAAAAAAAAATCTCATAAAGGATTTGGTCTTAAACGTAGTAAAACAGAAGAAACTGGTCTCTATTATTAAAGACCACTGAGTTGTGGTCTTTAATAATAGTATTGTTATTGTTCTTGGTAGTATTGTTATTAAGTTTAGGAGTCCCTCCCTGCCATAAAGTCTGTGCCAATTCATAGCAATCATATAGGACAGGGTAGATATTTCCCCTTTTTCTACAAGAGTGGAAAGCTTTCTCTCGCACCTCTGAGTGGTTTCAAACAGCTGACCTTCTGGTTGGCAGTGCAACACATAGCCACTATGTCACCTGGGTAGCACAAATGGCTAAGTATTCAAATACTAGCCAATAGGTTGGCAGTTTAAACATGCCCAGAAGTGCCTCAGAAGACATGTATGAATATCTACTTCCAAAAGGTCAGTTTTGGAGATATTGTATTCTACATACATGAGTTACCTAATATCACCACCATAATAATCTAAGGATACAGTCCTTAAACTTTAAAATCAATGCTTAACCCCATGATAAGTTTGATGAAACTATTATTTAAATTTTAGTGTTTTAATTTGAAAGATTGACTTTTCATGTGTTATACTGAAGGGGCAGCTGCTGCTGTTACCCCCATACCTACAATAGGATCTTTGGGTACCCAGCCCTAACAGGGAAGAAACAAGAAGACAGTGGTAGAGGTGGCCCATCTGAATTTACTGTATCAAGTTAAATCCTTCTCAGGGATCCTCACATTGGCAATTATGCTCTTGGTAAAGCTCAGGCCTCCATCAGTGCTCTTGATGTTATCCCTTCCTTTTTCTGGGGAGCTTTCTCCTTCAATTCCCTTCCGGCATCTCCACTGGCTCTCTCTCTCAGCTCTATGGATTCTCCACTCTTATTTTTTTCATCTCGTGGAGAACACCTCCATTTCATCTCATACTATGAACCGAGCTGCCCTATTACACACTCTGACTTCCTGATTTCTTTTTCCTCTGCCTACTTAAGAGTTTGTGGTTTTCCAGATTTTACAACATTCTTTCTTGTCCCTGTACTGCAGTGGTTCTCAATGTTCCTAATGCTGTGACCCTTTAATACAGTTCCTCATGTTGTGGTGACCCCTAACCATAAAATTATTGTCATTGCTACTTCATAACTGTAATTTTGAAGCATAATTTTGTTATGAATTGGGCGACCCCTGTGAAAGGGTCGTTCTACTCCCAAAGGGGTCGCGACCCACAGGTTGAGAACTGCTGCTTTACTGTGTACAGGTAATATCACATGTGATTTTTCTCAACAGTCCTATAAGGCACGCAGTATTACAATGCCATTGTCACAGATGAGTTGAGCTGGATGTCCAAAAATCTTGGAGAAGCTGTGCAAGGCCATACAACCAATTGGTGACCATTCTACCCTATTCCTCCTCTCAAAATGAGTTGTCCTCAGAATATACTTTATGATGTCACATCTGTGCACTATTCTGTGTGAAATGGTGAAATGACCAGCCCTTCCCATAGTCTGTTCAGCAAAAGCCCATTCACCGACATCAAATCAATTCTGACTAAGAGTCTAGTTATATAAATCCTCATCTCCAACATGAAAAGCTCATGTAGCTCAAGTCCACCTTCGCCATCAACTTCCAAAGCCCCACCTGAAACGTCTTATTGTCTGAAAGTCATGAACAGACCTCCAACTCATTTGCTACCCTGCCAGTACCTTTATTCAGTTAATGTTGCTAAAGATATTTAACTTAATGGAGACTCTCATTCCCCTCTTGGTTCTCATCTATTGCATAGATGACCACTTGAATCGCCCTTTGGGGTCAATCTTAACAACTTATTTGACGACTCATTCTCTGTCCCTCACATTTACCCCACACATTATATACTGTACTTTCAACCACCCCTTGAAATTTCCAGAGCCACACAACCATGAAGATTGGCTACCAGCATTCATCTGGTTCCCAGGGCTGCCTGGCAATACTGTTCTCCCTTGTCAGCTTTCTTTTGCATTCTCTGAAGAGTAGAAGATTTAAACCCTCTGCATCTCTGTAAAGTTCTCGCTTTATCATCCTCTGCTACTACAGCAGGAAAACTCACCCATATTACAGAGACACAAGCCGAAGAGTAAAAAAGCATTACGCTCACTGAGGCCTGTCCTTTCCTGCTGCCCTTGTTCCAGTTAAAAGGGCTTTCTCTCCCTCCGCCACGTGCTCAGTGTTCCCCCGCAGGGCAGTCTCAGCCCTCCGTGACGTGGCTCTCACGCTGCTCCCCGCCTCTGCCAACTCTTAACCTAAGTTGCTTTTGCAAAATGTTCTGGGCTTCCTAAATACACTTTGTCTCTAAAGATTAGAAGCATAATTACAATAAATATTGGAATACCCATTCTCTATATGCCAAGCTTAAATTGCTATCTTTAAAATTTTACCTTTAATTCCTGTTGGGCTGTGAGGGAGGAAGAGGTCACTAGCATTTGAGTCAAATTTTGAATTTTCTCAATCTGTACTTTTTGAAGTAAGTCTTTTTCTTCCAAAAGTTGTGCCAATTGGTCTTTCTCCATTGCCTGGGCTCTTGTCTCTAAAGAAACCTGTAGATTGTAATTTTTAATTATGTTAATGATATTGGGTTGAGAATGATAATTTTATTGAAACAAAATAAACCTACCTCCAAAGTACCAAGGTGCAGCTACAGTAATAATTTCTCAAATGTATACTAAAGTAAAAAATATATTTTTTCTGTGTCACTATTCTATGTGCCATATATAAGACCGTAAGAACTGCCGAAGCAATTCTAACAGTTGATTGACTCTGACTGCCACTGAGTCTACTCTGACTCATAGCAGCCCTGCATATAGGATGGGGCAGAGCTGCCCCTATGGTCTTCTGAGACTAACTCTTCACAGACATAGAAAGCCTCATCTTTCTCCTGTAGACGGACGGTGGTTTCAAACTGCTGACTTATGGTTAGCAGCCAAAGAGTAGTTCCCAATACACCACCGTGTGGAGGGCTCCTTGTGATTGACTCAGAACATGTAAGTTGCAGAGAAGTCTTGAGAACAGAGACTGGATACCTACACAAGTAGAAATGCTTTGAAGACTACCTTTTCATAATTGACTGATCTATAAAAATAGCTCTAAAAAGGTTCTTTTTTTAAACAAAATATAGGTGCATAGTGGTTCAATTACAATGACAAGCGATTATGTTGTACTACATAGCTATCTTAGTTAGAAGTTATTTCTATTAGAAATATTTTCTGAAAATATCAGAATTTGTCTCTTGAAATAAAAAGCAAAAAGTAAAATAATTTTTAAGAGCACACATCATTTGGTTCAAAGTAAATTAACTACCTTCAAGTTCCAATGTAAATGCATCCTTTAATCAGAATTAATTTTTTTGATGAAAACAATTCGGATATCTATAAATCAAGTCTGAACATCTTACAGACCTCATTTCTAAATCTGTCCTTATCTTTAACTGAAATTCACAGTTCATACATACCTCCTCTAATTGCTTTTTAAGATCCATTATTTCTTTTCTGTATCTTTTCAAGAGAGCTTCGTCACTTGATACCTCATTAACATAAGGAGTATTCTTCATGTATTTAGCCGTGCTGGCAAACTGAGAGAAATAAACAAGAGCATTAAGTGTTCAAAATAAAAACAAAACCGAACACATTCAAGAATGTTTCTTCCACTCTGTACTTTTAATTCTTGCCCAAAGTATTTTTGTCTTCCACTGAACTATATTCTATTTCTCTATTCAACTGTTATGTAAGCCATTAAATGGTAGCTTAGTCCAAGGTAATCAGACTGAAGGACAGGTCTTATCTTCCTTATAAGACTCGGTGAAGCTGGGGACTCTATTTCCTGTCTTTGCATCTTGGGCAGTACCCAGACCCAAGACTGGGGAGTTTGAATGTTCCTAAGAGTATGAGTATCAGTAGTGACATTAGTACTGATGGGTACATGGAGGTGATCATTAAATTAACACTAAGTTCTTGGTTGAGAGGCTATTTTACTGGCATTAAAAAAATAAAAGGAAAATGCAAGTCTTTGGCTCAGAACAAGAATATAAGGATTATTTTGTTGCACACAGACATGTATTTTTAGTCACCTATTTGTGGCAAGTAATCTAATATTTAAGTTAAGGTAGTGATATAAAGTAACCCTTTAAAATAAACTAAGTTTAAAAAGGGAATTTTTTGAAAGAAAAAAAAAAGTTCATTCTTTTCAAATCAAGGAAGTCAGCACCTGCCTGTGATAAAAACGGAGAAAAACAAGCCAAACCCACTGCCATTAATCAAGTCGTGCTGCCTCCTAGGGACCCTCAAGGACAGGGTAGAAGCTTCCTTGTGTTTCTAAGACTGACTCTTTACGGGAGGAGAGCCCGTCTTTCTCCTGAGCAGCAGCGCTGCTGGGTTTTACACTGCCGATCTGATCATTAGCAGCCCAACTCAAAAACACTAAGCCACCACGGTTCGTTAAAAAACAAGAGTACACTGTGAAAGTGAAATATGAATGGCTGGAGTCTGAAAAAATTAAGAAATGCTATTTAGCGGTAATATATCAATTTTATTATAATAGGTCCGCTGTCAATTATAAGAAACAACATAGCAAAACTAAGCCTAATTTTACTAAGTATTTTCTCCTTCCTAAAGTTGATCACCCTCATTAAGACAAGATATAAATCTCCTCACCTGCAGAGTGGTGAGTGTTTCATCAAAGGACACTGGAGTAATTGTGCAGATAATACGGGTTTTCGCATTTCCTCCCAAGGAATTCTGGAGAATTCGTGTTAATTTGCTATCTCGATAATTTATGAAGCCACTTTATGAAAAATTGGTTTGAGAAGGGGTTAAGAAAAGAATATAAAAGTGGTTGATTTTTAATTCACATCATTAAAGTTACTCACAGTTTAAAACAATTAATCCTTTACAAGTTACCTGAGGCAGAACAAATCAACTGACGGAAAATGTTTAAAGTGGAAAGTAAATTCAGTAGGCCACAGTAACCTGTATCAGAAGCTATGCACGGTCACAGAATCACAAATATTTAGAATCAATGGAACGATGTTATGGAAGAAATCAGTAAGTTGAGTGGCACTGAAAATCACATAATGAAATTTTGAAAAAATTTTTCATAATGAAAAGTTAAATTAAAAAAACTTAAGCACTGCCAGATAAGTGTTGAGTGGGATAAACTTACCCAACTTGTCCATCACTAAGTTTCTTGATCACTTGTCCCAAAATAAATAAGCTTCGATTTATATTACAGCCTTCCTTGAGTCGCACACCTAAATTAAACAAATAATAAAACTGAAATTGACTTCTGTGCTAGATGATGACCTTACCATCTTTATGAGAAAAATCAGAAATTAAAGGTGCTAAAATCTGTTCTGGCTATGGCCCGAGCCTACGATCAATACCACTTGTAGAAGGGACTCTCCCCCTATTCCTTCCACTTACTAAGTGGATCAGAACGATTATCACTCAATAGAAATGGCAAAAAATAAGATAACTATAAAAAGATTGACAAGGAGGAAGAAAGCCGATTTACTAAAATAGCCTAGTCCATAAATTCAAATCACTTTTCCACAACTTTAAGATATAGGCAACCATGGCCTACTAACTAAATTCGTATCTATTTTATAATCACGATGGTCTCCCAGGGGTCAAAATCAGAATTAAAAAAAAAAAAACTCTAGAAAAGCTCCCTGACTCTTCTCCCCGATTTAACCAGTTCTCCTGCCCCCACCAGGAGGTCACAATCACTAGTGTGCGGATTCTTATGTGGATTTTCAAAACACAAAGCAATGGGAATTCATACTGCCCCTTCCTTTTTGCATGGCATTCTGGTGGCACCGTAGTTAAGACGTTTGGGTGTTCACCGCAAGGTCGGTGACTTGAACCCTGCAGGACGCTGCAGGAATAAGCTGCTCCCGGGGAGACGACAGCCTTGGAAATCCCGCAAGGCAGTTCTCTGCTGTCACATCGGCCACATTCTATACACACCTCTCTGGAAATTTGCTTGGGAAAATTTCCCTTATCAAAAACAGACTTGTATGACCATAGTAATTCCATACTTCTAGCTTCCTAAATTGCTGCTATAGTAGACAAAGGTAAATAATTAGCCAGAGACCTTGGTTTTTGTGAAGATTTTTCACAAAAACATCACCATTATTTTCAGTTTGTGAAATGCGTGGCGGCCCTTTTTATCCTGTGAAAGAACATGTTGACAGAAGACCAACACATCCCACAAGCTGTCCTTACCTTCAGCTCCTGTTTGGGCAGCCCTTTCACTCCCAGCAAGATCAACCAAATTCTGTAAGATAGATGGAAGTAACCTCGGGTGATAACACGTGAACCTCTACAACACTTTTAATACATGGTATATTTGAATGTGTGATCTGTCTCCTTGTTGCTCATCTCACGGGTTAGCCTCTTGCTTTTTTCTTAGACTCAAAAGAAAGTTTCTTCATTGTTATGCATCTATCTTACGTAATGCCTACAAATTATACTTTCTGCTTCCCTACATGCAGTTCAACCAATGCCTTAGCTTACCGAAGGACCCAACCCCAAACCCCACCCAGGACCCAACCCCAAACCCCACCCAGTCCTGTTCCAGCTCTCTATTTAACCTATCTGCATTACAATTAGCACAATGTATTTCTTATTTGTCTCTTTTTCCCTCTTCAAATTAACCTCTCAATTTCCCTAAATTCACCTCACGTAGACTGCTCGCTCCTTGAGAGCAGTGAATTTATCTTTCTCTTTTTCAAACTTTCATTGTGAATTAAGTACAGGTTTTCAGGGTAAATTATCAGTTTTGTATTCAACAATACACATACACACATCCCCCACCCCAACTCATCGCAACCCCTTTAATGTACTCTCACTGATGCCACTTCTTCCCTGCTTTGATTCTATTTCTCCTTCTCTCCTAATCCTCGGAACTTACTGTTCAAGTGCTCATCCTTTGATCTTAAATGGCTATTATTCTAACATGGGAGTGATTTCACTTCCACACCAGATGGCTGGCCTAGAGTCATAGTCTTGGGGGTCCCACAGTCTGTAACCGGTAAGTCTTGGATCTGTTATGATTTGGGGTACTGTTCTACATTTTTCCCAGAGACCTCAATATCTGGTTCAGGACTGCATCCCAAGCACCTAACACAGTGTCTGGTTCATGTTAGGCAGTGACTTTTTCAACAATTCTTTGTCTATGCCTTTGAAAATGCCACAGAAAAGGGGGAGCCAGTGACAAAGATCAAGGAAAAGTGAGCTCTGGGTAAAGAACAGTCAGTAAACTTGGTAACAGAGAAGAAATGAGGTTGGTGTGCTCAGATCAGAGAAAAGGCAGTGTGGCAGAGGAGGTAGAGTGGATAGTGAGATAAGATAAATGAGAGAAATAAGGAGCAGCTGAATTATGCAGGGCTTTTTATGCAAGAGTAAGAATTCTGGATTTTTTTTCTTCTCTAAATGCAATAGAAATGCATTGGAAGATTTTAAGCAAAGGCATAACCTGACTTCAGTTCCTAAAGTCAGCCAACTGTCAGCCCTGAATGGAGAAAGGTATGACAAGGTAAATGTGACAGTATGGAGCCCAGTCAGGGGCTGGTGTAAGAAACCACGTAAAAGAGATGGTGGTAGCATAGGCTACAATACAGTGGTAGTGGAAAATGTCATCTTTAATCCCAGAGAACAGTACTGTGCCCAAAGCCTGGGGTTAAACACTCAGTAAATACTCAGAATGCATTGAAATAAACTCAGAGCTTTGTGGAGACTTTCAAATATAGGCAGGAAACTAGGTATTCCTGTTTTACAGGCCTATCCAGATCCTTCCTTCTGAAACACGCAATGGATGCTAATCTTTCTTGTCGTAGCTACAATAGATCACCTAGACACACAATAAAGGGCAAAGTGGTGATGAATATGAGATCAAGATTTGTGTTTAAAGAAACTAGAGACCCAATATACCTAAAAAGAATAGATTGGTTAAGAGTAGCCAGATGCTGTGTAGGAAAGTTAAGATAATAGAAACAAGTGCTTAGGTAATACAAGGAGCCAGTATTTTAGACTAGAGAGGGAAGACCAGGGCCACAGAACCCAGCTTCCAAAAAACTGACATAGTAATTGAATTGAGAATCAAAATGAGAAAGACATAATGGAATAAATAAGAAATGGAAACTGACTAGACAAAGAAAGCAGATGAGCAAAAACTGAATTAGATTACCAGCTTGGGTGACCAGAATAATGCTGGTATTATCTCAAAGAAGAATGATTCACTATGGTAGAAAGCAATTAGCTTGATTTTAGACACCATGCAGTTTGGGTGAACAGTGGAGAACGTAAGTATGATAACCATTAGGCAGAAAGGAATTAGGGAGTCTAGAGAAAATACATAAAAATGAGGGTAGAACGTGTGACCGCAGGAACTTGAAGTAAGAAGGCACAGAGGACTCCCAGTGCTTTCGCTGGCGAGTGAGAGAGCAGAAGCCACAAGGGAACAGGGAAGGAGCAGAGCTGGGAGAACCTGGACGTTATCATCCCTCACGTTTCTAAAGCTTTCAAATCACATACAATAGCCATGAAGCACTCAGGCCCCCAACTGGAGAACAAGAATGGTAACGGGTAGGAAGCGAGCACGGAGAGACAGAGCAACGACAGCAGTGCAGAGGAAGGGAAGAGTATGTGTGTGTCTGTGTGGGGGGGGGGTTTATATACACGGAAAAATGAGGTGCTTGCATAATGCTTACATTCTACAACTTAATAGCTATTAAACACAAATTACATACAATGTGTTTGGGCTACAAAGACAAATATTACTCTTTCCTTACAGGATATATATAGTCTACAATATTGTATTTATAATATAAAATATATTTTATTTGGATATAAGAGAATTCTAATAATCATTTAATTTTCACTTCCCAAATCTATATTTTTGTTGACCACACAATCCCCTTAATCACTTCTTCAATGCATGTACAGGAAAACCAAAATGAAACGAAACATACAACTTCATTACTAGTTTTAAAAATATCAACTTATAAAGTCCTTACTCCTGAGTTTTAAGAGATAGCTGCTATAACAAAAACAGGAGAAGGATCTGCTGACATTTTCGCGCTACTCTCAATCTGATACTTTGACAAGACTTTTAAGCTATGGGCTTATAAACAGCCCCTCACACGCATACCCACCCTCCCCCATTTAGCTCGGTTAACAGTGTTCATTAAACCAGATAGCCAAGACCGGAATTACACTGTGCTTTGGCGCGCACGGCTCATTATGAGGTGACATCAGTACTCACCAAATGGGACACCTTGACAGATCCTTCACAATTAGCAGGCTCACCCTTCTCTCTGCTTTCCAAAATCTAAACAGAAAAGACAACTTGTAGAAAAATCAGCACATTCTGCATTGGAAAAGACCAAATACAGGGAAAGAGAAAATTACCAACCATTCTAAAGATAGTATGAGAACGGCTGCTTCTTTGATTCATTTTTGTTATTCCATAATGTCTGTTCTCTGCAAAAATTAGTCATACATCAGGTTTATATATTAAAATCCAATAACACATTAACTTTTATTTTAGCTTAAAAGGAAAGGTGAGATTTGAAGCTTAAACTATGGATGAGTTAGTTTTTTTTTAACCCATATGTTAAATAATACAGCAGGATGCCTTACTTTCCCCCTTTGTGATCCACTTCAATGCCATTTCTGATGTGTAAACGACTTCTTCTGTGAGATCAGACACATAGACATTCCTCTGAAACAGATTTAATTACAGGATGATGAGAAATAGACTTTCAAAAGAAAGGCACATCCTACATAGAATTTACTTATGGAAGTTATAAGTGGAAAACACACCTAAACAAAACCCAGACCCATTGCCGCTGAGTCAACATTGATGCACAGAAACTTTACATAGGGTTTTGAAACCTGGACATCTTTACAGGACCGGACAGCCTCATCTGTCTCTACAGGATCAGCTGGTGGATTTAAACTGCTGACCTTTTGGTAGCAACCAAATGCTTACCCCAGAGCACCACCAGGGCTCCTGAGTAAAAAATGGATACTATCAATCTGTAGGAAAACCAACCATCAATCATACTTCCTTTTTTTAGTATTCTAAAGCATACCAGGCTCCTTCCAACCTGATACTTTAATCTTCCTGTTTTTTAGCACTTCAGTCAAAATATCACAGCTGTATTTAAAAAATTTACTTTAAAAAATTGCTTTTAAGGTGGATTTCTACAAACACCTTTAAAAAAACCTGCAAAAGGGGCCAGACCAAATCCAGGGATACATATGGTAGCCAACTAAAAAGGACGGG